ATATCATATCTCTCAATGATAAGCAATTTAAGTTTTTTTATGAGACTATAACTAGTCTTCAACTCCATCAGAAATCTGAGAATAAATTAAATATTACCTGAATGTAGGAAACAATAAATATAGCTTCTAAGACAAACACTTTTAGAGACAGTTGACTCCCTTGAAACAAACCCTATATTTTATAACATTGGAGCATCTGTCTTCAGCCTTCATGCCTAGAACCATCTGACAGATCTTGAAATAGAGCAGGAACTAGGAAGGGTTAGGCTGTTCTATCTTAGAAGAACCAAACTGGTAACTCTTCCACATTGTATGTCCTTTCCTGGCCAGTATGTTTTGTATGTAGATGGGTTGGTCAATTTCTGCCCGGTTGCTATCTTGCCACTATAGCAATCTTTACCGGGAGGTAAAGATGCTCAATTTATTGAAGGAGAATGGAGAAGCTATCAGGAGCAGACGTGTCTCATTGTCAAATGATCCTTATTAATGAAATAGCATTAAATGTCACAGTCTGTGGATTTCTGATATTTTTGAAGACTATGTATATAATGCATATTTGAACTGTTAAACCATAGTTTTTGACATTTTTCTTTGTGTACATTGAAAGCAGTTTTATATAATGAAATTAGAATCTAACATAACCGTAAGTTTACTCTTTGGCCTCTAACTTGTGATACTTAGTCATCTTAAACTGTTTGTAACAGAAAATATAAAGGACTGGGTCAAAACCTTGTATTCTAAAATGAGTGTCGTAGACACAAGGACTATCTAAGAGTTACAATATTAATTTCAAATTTTGTTTCAATATACCAATTCTTACCAATGGTAGTTTATGGCTACACAATGCTTTGTTCAAGAATTAAATATAGTAATCGATCCCATCTATTTCCTCCATGTCCAAAAAAATATGACCATTTCCAAATTATCCCTTAAAAAGACAGCCTATGTATAATTTATAAAGTAATCATAACCCAGGAAACTGGACTGATGACTCTCCATGGCTCCTTCTTGCAGAATAGGCTTGCCAAGAAACTCTTCAAAGGAATGAGAAGGTATAGGAAAATTAGAAAAACTGGTTAGATATAAGAAAGCTAATTTAGCATATGTTATCTAGTCTCTATGTTTAGAAGGCTCAGAACTTGACTCAAGTTCTCACTGGATCTGTCTAAAGGTTGGATGAGGTGAGATCATCTGGACTTAGCAAATTTTGAAGCTATTTTGGAAGTAAGTCTCTGGATATCATCAGTTCAGCATCTCTGAGGATGAATCTTCCCAAAGCTCTACATTCCGTAAGAATTTTACTACCATTAAAATATTTGTTCAGATTGTACAGAACACACATATCAGTTAATGATGGAACTTTTCTCTTTGTTTGAGCAGATAAAGACATCTCTCTTTTTAATTAGTTAATTTTATCAATAACTAATTGCAATAATTCTTCATTTATGCCATTTGAAGAAGGGTACAAAGAATTTTAAGGATACTATAAACAACAAGTTTTATTGTCTAATTTTATCTAAAGTTTTGGCTAGAGACATTTTTATGTCTAAAAAAGTTAATGGGAAATTCTCCTATTAAAGAATATCAAATTTCTTGACTTGTTTGAGTTTTCTCAAATTTTTGGAGATCTTCAGGAGGACTATTAATATCATATTTAATCCATATTGCTCTCGAAGTGGTTCATAGCCCTTTCTCTTTTCCTGTCAACACAAATACAGAGCCTTTCTCCCAAAATAGCATATACTTGGTCTAGTAACTGGAAATCATTCAAGATATAGCTTGCCCTCTCTTCTAGAGGAATTTTAATATAACCACCAAAACTCATAATCACACACTTGATAATTAAAGCAATTCAAAACAATTAAAGCAATCTAAACAGATATTAACTGTTGAGGCCGTGATTCTTTACAATCTCCTGATTTTTAACCTATAATTTAAGAACAAAGCCTTAATATTTTATACATCTGTATATACTTAAATCCTCCCTACTATGGAGATTAATATCTTTGTGGGTATATGTTGTAGTATGCCCCTTTCTGTTTTTACAATTGTCAAGGCCTAAGTTTCTAATGTCTGAGAGAGGTAAGGCTTCCTATTTCCTGCTTTCAATATATTTTTTTTTAAATATAGAACTTCTCAGTATTTATTATCTGTGTCTACTTACTGAATGCATTTATTTCCAGGCTCTATTTATATCATACCAGAGAAAGAAATCATAGAAATCCCATGTGGACCATATTTAAAGATTTTGAGATTTTGCCTTCACAAGACTTAATTTTTTTTAAAGCAGTTTTCCATTTAATCTCCCTTCTGTCCTCAAAATAAAAGTAATGTAATTTATTTGTCCCTCTCCTTTGATTATATTTGTAGGAAGCAGGCTAAGTTGACAATCTGGCTCTCTTCCTCTCATTGTCTTTCTCCTAGCAGCCAGCCTAGCTCTTTGCACAACAGGGTTTCCCAGCTTTTTAGCTTAAGCTTTTTGTATCAGTTTTCAATCACAGGAAAAAAAATCCCACTTGGCTCAGGCAAAGTCTGTATATTTCATTCTATCCTTAAAAACAAATAAATATTTTTAAAAAAAATATGTATCCTGTATTTATCTGGTAGCTGGAGGCAGACAGCTGCAATTGTCTGCTTCTCACAGTCTTTCTCTTAAGAGGTGATCAGGCTGTGTTTCTTTGGTCTAGTTTCACGACTTACATGAGAACTACATGACTCATGACTCCTCTCACCTATCTGAGAAACCAAATCATCACCCCTCCTCCTAAACTTACATCATAGTGTGAGTGTGTGTGTATGTGTGTGTTTTGTCTCCTTCATTCCGGAATATATAAATTATTTTACTAGTAACTTCTTCCACCACATTGCATACCATCTGTAATGGTGAAGAGAATGAGCTACACAGCTTTAGCTCCTGGCTAATTGAATGCAGACTACCCAGGATATATTGGAAATTACAAAGTGAACACACACCTACACCCATACCCACACCCACACCCCACACACACACTCAAGTTAATTTCAAAATGCCTTGGCTACCTAAATAGCTAGGCACTCCCATACCTTCCTCTGCTACCCCAAGCTGAATCAGGCCAGTGGCTACTTACATGAATATTTATGTGGCTCACTGGCCCTATCTCCTAGAGCTCCTATGTTCCTATGTTCATCTGTATCCACTGATTCATGAAGATTTCTTCTTCTCCTCTACCTGTGTCCAAGTCTGCACAAGACTAAGTGTCCCGTGACACCACCCTTTGTTCAATCATTGATGGTTGGCATATTTATTGATGGATTAAAAGCCATTTGAGGACAAGGACCTTTAGCATTTGGACATGCAGATCCCAGATTGAATCAAAGCATTAAAACCAATATCTAACATATGTGTTCCATGTACATTTTTCCATCTACTCTCTTATCTTACATGCTTCCTTTATCGGCCATATTTTAGTTTTGTGGGATCAAAACATACTCCCTATAACCACACATTTAAAATACTATAGGTTGAAAAGTAGGAATGAGACAGAGTTTGCACTATTGACCTTTCTTAAGCTATCTTACTTTACTTAAGACAGTGCTTTCTGTTCACTGCTGTAGCCATTGCCCAGGTTGTTCTGCAGATCCAATGCATGGAGAAAGGAAGACTGTATTGGTAATTCCTAAGACTTCAGCTCATTTCTCTACTTTCCTTTAACTTATACAGGTTCCAGGCTTCACCATCAATTTTATTCATTCTTGACTGTAAGGCTCACTCTCCAGGCATAGCTCAAGAGTGTGTAGAGCAACATTTTCCCCACTGGAGCTTCTTGGTTCAGCCTGGTGATGATTCACAGTCTAGTTTAGACTTTGTAATGGGATCTCCCTGATCTAAAAAGAATTTGGTGACAACTTGACTTGCAGGTATGTTTTTTTGAGAACTTTCTCCAACTGGACTGCACAGATGGGTTAATTCACTGCATTCTTTCCCACTATTTCTACTGTAGTCTTTTGGGGGTTACATGATAATTACACATACAATTATTTATTTATTTATTTATTTATTTATTTATTTATTTATTTATTTTGCTTTATATCCTGGTTGCTGCTCATCATTCCCTCCCCTTCACTTCTGAGAGGGTCGACACTACCATGGAATCCTCCCAACCCTAGCAAATCAAGGCTTTGCAGTGTTAGGAATAGCTTCTTCCACTGAGGCCATATAATGCAGCAAGACAGTGGAATGGATCCTACAGACAGACAGTAGCTTTAGCGACAGGCCATGGTCCAGCTGATGGGAGAGTGTATCACACAAGATATCCCCAGGGATCAAACAGCACATACCTAAATATGCACTCATGAGTGTGTATATATGTGCTGTGATATTGCATAAGAGCTAACTCACAAGTTAATGATATATTGCCCTCACTTGAACAATCATTTACATGTGTTTTATGTCTTAATAGAATTTTCTTATCTATGATATATATTCTTAATGGAATGGTTAATTTTTCATTATACATCACCTAATATTATGTGAAATGTACTTTACTAATTGATATATTTGAAGTTGGTAGTTGTCATTAAAATTGACTTCCTTTATATCATGACTAGAAAGTAAGAGTATATTCTTATAGTCCTAAATTATGCTTATTAACACTGGTTCTCTTTTTTCATTGCTTCTGCCAGGCCAAGTAATCTAGCACATAATGTCTGTTATTCTATGATTTTGGAGGCATCTTTCCAATTCACAGGTGTGTCCTGAAACCTTCAGCAATCTTACATTATTGTATGGTATGTTAATAAATATTGTAAGTTATAATTGCTACTGTTAGAAACTTCAAGAAATTATCGCTACAGTACATAGAGCACATAGGATAAAGTGCAGGATGACATGGTTTTCCTGAGCTTTACGGGCCTCTCTGATTTAGACTCACAGTAGCTCTTCATATTATTAGTACTTTTCATTCATTTTGATCAGAAACAATGAGTATGGCTATAATCTAAAGAAAATCACGCTCAATCACAGAATGGAATTCTGGAGTATGATAATCAAGATAATTTTCTCTTTACAAATAACAACTGGAATTCTGGGAAATATCTTTCTTCTTATCTACTATCCAGTCTATTATATAAAACCTACATTAAAGCCCACAGATTTGATTCTCATGCACATAATGGCATCCAATGTCTTGATAGTTCTGTCTACAGGAGTGCCAAACACATTGGCAACTTTTGGGTTGAAACAGTTTTTAAATGATTTTGGATGCAGAATTATTTTGTACATTCAAAGACTTGGCAGGAGTGTGTCCATTAGCATCACCTGTTTCTTGAGTGTCTTCCAGGCCATCACCATCATTCACAAGAAATCTTGCCTTAAGGATCAAAAAGACAAAGCTGCAAGTTATGTTGGCTGCTCCATTTTCTTTCTTTGGGTCTTGTCCATAATTATAAATTTCATTTTCTTGGTGTACATACTTGTCAAAAGAAATAGCAAAAATATGACAAAAACCCGAGACTTTGAGTACTGTTCTACCACAGTCGATGATAACATCAGTGACTCACTCTATGTAGCATTAGTGGTGTGCCCTGAAATCTTCTTTTCTGTGCTCATTGCCTGGTCCAGTGGTTCCATGATTATGATTCTGTACAGACACAAGCAGAGGGTTCAACACATCCACAGCAGTCCTGTTTTCAGAGGAATCTCGCCAGAATCCAGAGCCACCCAGAAAATCCTAGTCCTGTTGTGTATGTTTCTGGCATTTTATAGTCTTTCCTCTGTATTACAAGGCTACATTGCTTTTCTATATAATCACAATTGGTGGCTGCTGACAGTCAGTTGCCTGATTTCTCTGTGTTTTCCATCCTTTGGACCCTTTGTTCTAATGAGGCATTACTCTTTTATGCCCAGACCCAGTTTGATCTGGATATGGAATAAAATATCTTAATCTTATTATTATTCAATTATTTCAATGATATATTTTACATGGTTTCCAATTGTTAACTCACACTCTTAATCAAAAGGTTAATAAAAAGACTTAAATCATAGGACATTGTCTTTTTAAGGTTAGTCAAATGAATATAGGAGATTGTCAGTTGGTTGAATTACTAGCCTACATGAGGATCATCATTTTATGATAACCTATTCTACTCTTCCATTTGTTCATTTGATGTCTTCCATTCATGTCTTCCATTTGTTCATTTGATGAGAAAATGAGTCAGGAAAGCAAAGCTAGTAATGAAACTGTCCTTCTTGTGAGTTTCATTCTGTCAGGGTAGCTTGGTGCTAGGAATTTCACAGACAGCCCTGAGTCCAACAATCTAACTATAAGGAAATGAGAAACTATGGCTGGCCATGAATTTGTTCTTCATGAGGCCCTGTTCCCGTCATTGTAGCTGTAGCCAGCACCAGGCCTATAAAAATAAGATTACATCTTTAACCTCTTTCAGAAATTAATGCAAAATGAATGAAGATTTTTTGATGTAATCTTGAGCTTTTTTGATAATAAAATTGAGAGATTTTTGATCATCTGGGATATTTGGTAAAATATTTCTTTGTTGTTGTTCTCTCTTTATCTGGTTTGACATCATGGTAATTCTAGCTTCATGAAAAGAGTTTTGAATAAACTAATATAGCCATTTTGGAAACCAGATTTTTAGTCTTACAGAATGCAAAAAAAAAACTGAATTAAATATTTGAATCAGCAGTTCATCTTCTGGTGCTATACTAAGAAAACCATATATCATGTTGTATAAAATGGGGGGGTCCCATGTCTGCCCTACCACAGGGCTTGAGCCTCTGCTTGGGGAGGCAGGACATGGGAAGCAGGAAGTTTGACTGTGCCAGACAGGTGTCTAGTTATGGGAAACTGCTTGCAGGACAATGCTCCAGGGATAGGAGAGGGCAGTCTGAGACCCAGGGGAGCAGAAGCTAGCTAGGTGTCCTCTGGCTTGCAGGGCAGCTGAGTTCTCACGCTCTTGGGCACCCACTCACTGCTGGAAGATGCAGAAGAGCTGAGAGCTAAGTTGGTCCCATGGACTGGACTGGTCCACAGCTAAAGGGAAGAGGGGAAGAGAAGCTCCGGCTGCACCCAAGGGGAGAATCCTAGGCTTGGCTTACCTTGTTGCTGTCAGCTGGCTTGGGTTGGTGGTCCAGTAGCTGGGAACACAGAGAATTCTTTTGCAGGAGATTAGACAGTGGATTTGTAGGAGAAGGCCTGTTCCATTCTTTCCCACAGTGCATCCCCATGAAAGAGAAACACTGCATGGTTTTAAGACATTTATTGTCATGGCAGGAAAGTGGATGAGAAACTATACCACTATACCATGGTGCCTTTCATGGTTCTAAAATATTATACCATAGAAACATTTTTCTGTCAACAACCATCTCTGATTTATTTATTGCTGCTATGAGATAGAACCCTCCAACATATCCATAAATAGATAAATCGAATATTAAATATTTCATATATAAAATGGATTAAAATTCTACCAGTGTGAAAGACAGAATCACAAAATATGTAGGTAAACTGATTAATTTATTCATTGATTGGTTGATTGACTGATTGATTGATAATGGATAAAACTAAACCATGTCACCCAAACACAGGAAGGAAAAAGTCCACATGATCTCCTTCATGGAGATCCTATCCTATAATGTCTCCACATTTATATGGAAAAGAATATAAGTGTAACTTCAGTTATAACATTTTTAAAGTAGACCTAGAAAGGTCCTATTAGATAATAGGCAGGGAGAGTATCCAGAATTTATTAAAAAGGTACATAATAACTATATTTCTATATTCAATGTTGTCAATTTGATTTTGTCTCTGGTGGAGAGGAATATGAAAATGTAATTGCTTCTGAGAGTTTAGAACACTTAGCAAATTGCTATGGCTTCACCAGGGCTATTCTAACTTTCTATGGATCAGTGAAATGTACAAAAGTTTGGCCTGAGCATGTATTCCATTTACAAGTTATTTTATTATAGTTTTTAAAAGGCTTTTATTGGTGTGTTCATTACAATAAAATGATTTTAATTTGAAATAAAATATTACCAAAATTTTTCCAAAGATGAAGAGAGTGTTCCACATATAGCCATCAGTAAATGTAATGTATCACACAAATGGACTCAATGTCACAAATACCTTGATTACATGTTACATGCCAGAAAATTTTGTTTTCTTAATATTTTATTGAAATTCTATTCTCATATATATACAGACTATAGATTTCCGTGTTTCTACTCCACTCATTTCGCCCCTACCATGAAGATCAACTCTCTTTCTGTCATTAAAAACAGCAGGACATCAAACATAACAAAACAATATAGAAAGATAAAACAAAAACCATCATACTGAAGCTACAATAGTCAGACCCTTATTGACCACATTCAGTTATGTTTAATGTTCAATAATGTTAACAACTTTTAAAAAATAGTACCATATTTAGGTACATACAGCAAAACACAAATTTCTAAAGGTATTTTCTATTAAAGCCACATTTATAAAGTGATCAAGTTGTGGGAAGGATAAAGACAATCGGGGGGAAGTAAATGTAAACAATACTTTGAAGGGAACAGAGGATAACACCAATATAGTGGACATCAGTTGATTAAAAGTAGTCCCCCAAATTACAAAGGTTCTAGTGGCCAGGAGTATGTATTGGGGTGATAGAGGAGTTGAAACTGCCTAAACCTTGAGCAGCACAGCATGTGAAGGAAAATACAGAGGACATATTTTTCTAGTTATCATGTCAAAAAAATTTAATAATGATATCAAATCTGAATAATATAAGTTATTAATAGATATCTTGTATAAAATTAAAGCATATCTGATAAGAAAATTATTACACTACTCAGAGTATAATTATGTTCTTGTGACAAGGCAAAGGATTCTCTTTTTGTACCAGTCAAAGCCATCTTTGGTTTAACCAGAAACTGACATTCTCCTACCCCTACCCTTGCTTTTAACACCCTTCATGGAAAGTCCCATTGGAAAGTACCCAAATATGTTCTAAAATCTTATGATCAAAATGTAGTCTGTTGAACTGCTTCAGTGCTTTAAGTCATTTTTCCCTGCAACTGTCAACCAGCATGGCTCTTTTTTGGGTTCTTTGCTGTTTTTTAACATAATATTTTAGTGATTTTTTTTCAGGGAATTTTATATCCTGAGCCCTATCACACTCACTTCTCTGTCTTTACAGCACCACTGAAATCATGCTTTCCATCGCTCAGCAGGCAAACAATTCAGGTGCCTATTAATAGAGCCCAGGACTAGGCATATTGATCTGCTTCTTGGAGAGCATTACATCTCTGCATATCTCCACATTTACAGTGCAGGCAGTCCCATGACTCATTGGGCAAGACCGTTATGCTTCAGACTGGTAGTTCCATAAGGTCTTCTATCATCTTCATGAGATGGGGTTTTAGATTGGAATCTTGCTTTTCCTGTGTGTTAGAATATCCAGGGCTTGCTCTGGTGGGTGAACTGGTTTCTGATGGTGTTATGTGGCATTGGTTTCTGTTGCTTATATTTATGTCCTTGCCTTTCACAATCTGGTTATCTCTGGTGTTATCTGGCCTTGCTATCTCTTACTGGAGCCTTTCCCTCCTGTGAGTCTGGTTATGATAGATAGCCTTAAGTCTCTGTGTGTGGAAGGGGTTCTGGATTGATCAATCTGTGAGCCTGTGAATCTGATTGTGATGGATCTAATGGAAGTCAAGCTGTCTCTGGGTGTGGGAGGGGGTCTTGAATGCCAGATCTGTCCTGGGCACTGTTGCAGGCAAGAAGGAACATGTGCTTCTAGCAGGGCAGATAGGTCCCATGTCCACTGGGGCTGATGAGAGTCCTAGTTAGGCCAGGTAATGGGACAAGGGTCACCTCACCTGTTAGCCTGATTGTGAGGAACTACTGAGAGTCAAGCTGTCTCTCTGTGTGGGTGGTTGTCTAGAGCACTGGATTTGCCCTGGGCATAGTTGCAGGCCAAAAGGAAGATGTTTCTCCTACTGGATAGATAGGTCTTGTGTGTACTGGGCCTCAAGGGAGTCCCAGTTAGGCCAGGCATTAGGGCAGGGCTGTGTGTCTCACTAGTGAGCCTGGTTATGACAGACCTCCTAGGAATCTAGTTGTCTCTGGGTATTCCAATAATCTTGTGTAAAGAGAATTTTTTTTCCCTGAGTGTTAGAGCTACTGTATGGAAATATTGTTGAGAGAAAGAGAAATAATTTTCCCTGGGGAAGTTGTCTTAATTGGTTATCAAGTATCAAATGGTGAACTCTAAAATTATTTGTATACAGAAGATATTATGGAGCCTGAGCAGAGCTTCCTAAAATTTATTTCACAGAGAGCTTTAAATGAAAAGAAGCAAGAGAACAGATTCCTACACCTGCATGTATTGCAGCAGAGCTCATAACAGTTCCTAAGTAACACTGAGGTCATGAAGGATAATGCACTTACAGAAATTGAACCTGCAGAGCACACAGTATTTCTGAAACAACTTAAAAACGATAAAATATTTTGAAAAGATGTTTCTAAAAATTGGCCACAGAAAATTGAAATGTAAGATGACCCACGAGAACTGAGTGCAGCTGAGAATGATGAATCTACACCTTTATTGCAGCTTCTTAGGCAATAAGTCTCAAGCACAAAGGTCTTGCCCAGTTAATCATTGAGCTACCTGCATTGACAGCAGGGAGATATGCAGAGGCATGTTGATCTCAAAGAAACAGTTCAATATGAAGTAGGGCTGATCCTCTGCTCTACTAATTGGCCCCCACCGTGGACCCACTGCTGCTGCTGCCTGAATTACTTAACTACTGAGCAATGGAGAACATAGTTCACTGGTGCTGCAAAGACTGGGAAGTGAGTTTGATAGGGTTCATGGAATGAAATTCCCCAAAATTACTAAAAATATTAACTTAAAAAAAGGTAAAGAATCCACAAAAGCCACATGCTGCTTGATAGTTTCAAGGAGAAATGAGGTAAAGCACAGAAGTAGTTCAACAAAATACATTTTGACCACTAATTTTTAGATCATAGTAGGGAACTTTCCAAGAGGACTTTCCATGAAAGGGGTTAAATTCAGAGTAAGAGTGGGAGGATGTCAGTTTCAGGTTAAACAAGGAAGGCTTCATCTGATACAAGATAGAGAAACATTTGCCCGTCAGGGCACAATAGATATATTCTGAGTAGTATTAAAACTTTCTTATCAGTTATGTTTTAATTTTAGATAAGTTATCAACTAATAATTTATATTATTAAGATTTCTTATCATTAGTAAAATTTTCTTTGACATCATAACTAGAAAATATGTCCTCTGTATGTTCCTTCACATGCTGTGCTGCTCATGTTTTAGACATTTTCAACTTCCTTATTACCCCAATATATACTCCTGGCCACTATAGCCTTTGTCATTTTGGAGGACACTTTTAATCAACTGATGTCCACTGTAGTGGTGCCATCCCCTGTTCCCTTCTAGATAATGTCCTCATTTTCTTCCTTCTTCATTGTCTCTATCCTTCCCAAAATGTGATCACTTTATTGATATGACTTGAGTAGAATATGTTTTTAGAAAAGTTGTGTTTTGCTGTTTGTACCCAACTATGGCATTATTTTTAAAAGGTTGTTTACATTGTGCACATTAAACATAACTGAAGGAGGACTCTAATAATCTGACTTTTGCAACTTCAGTGTGATGGTTTGTGATTTATCTTTCTGTATTGTGTTTTGTTATGTCTTGATGTCATGGTATTTTGTAATGACAGAAAGAGAGTAGTTCTTCAGGGGAGGAGAGAAGCTGGGTGAAGTAGAGTCATGGAAAGCTACAGTCAGGTTATAGTTATGAGAATAGATTTTTTTCAGTCAAATAGTAAGATGAAATATTTTCTGTCATCTAACATTACAATTATGTAGTTATTGTTATTAAGCCCATTTCTGTGATACATTACATTTACTGATGGCTATATATATGGAAAAGTCTCTTCATCTTTGGAAAATTTCGGTGGTATTTTATTTCAAATTAAAATCACTTGATGGCAATGAACACACAAATAAAAGTAATAAAAACTACAAATAAAATAACCAATAAATGGAATACATGCTCAGGCCAAACTTTTGTACATTTCACTGATCTACAGAAAGTTAGAATAGCCATGATGAAGCCATAGAGATTTGCTTAGTATTCTAACTCTCAGTAGCAATTACATATTTAAATCCTTTTCCACCAGTAACAAAATTAAATTGATAATAATTAATATAGAAATATAAATATTGCAGATACACTTTTATATATTCTAGATACTCTCCCTGCCTATAACATAATATTACCTTTCTAGGTCTACTTTATTAATGTTATAACTGAGGTTATACTTTTACTCTTTTGTATATATACATGTAGATATTAAAGGATGGAATCTGCATGAAGAAGAATATGTGATCATTTCTGTCTGAGTTTGGTTGACACGGCTTAGTTTTATCATCTATCTGTCTATCTATCATCTATCTATCTGTCTATCTATCTATCTATCTATCTATCTATCTATTCATTTCCTACTTATTTTTTATACCATTTTTCACACTGGTAGAATCATAATCTATTTCAAGTATGATATAATTATTATTTGATTTTTCTATTATGTATATATCAGAGGGAGCTGTCTCATTTCTGCAATAATCAGGTCAGTATTGATCAATGACAGAAAAATATTTTTCTGGTATGAGATGGGGTTTTCTGAGTATAGCACCAGAAGTGGAACAGCTTCTGGTTCTGGTTATGGAAATAGTAGTTTCTTTTTTCACATATAGGGAGAAGAACAAACTGTTTTCCATAATGGCTATGTTATTTTATTCAAAGCTCTTTTGAGGAAGCTATGATTCCCATGATGACAAACCAGATAAAGGCAGAACAACAACAAAGGAATTTTATTATCAAATATCCCTGATGATCAAAAATCTCTCAATAATATGTTAGCAAAAATGCTCAAGATTCTGGAAAAGACCATCATTCATGTTGAATTGATTTTTGTAAGAGATTAAAGATGTAATCCTATTATTATAGGCCTGGTACAGTATTTAGCAACTACTATGGGAGCAGGTCCTCCTGAAGAACACGTTCATGACCAGCCATAATTTCAGTTTTCCTTGTTGTTAGAATGTTGGGCCTACAGGATGTCTGTGAAATCCTGAGCAACCAAGCTGACCCAACAGTATGAAAGCCAAAAGAATGTCAGTTTTATTAACAGCTTTTTCTCCCTGCCACATTTGCAAATCAATTGAGCAAAGGGAAGACTCTTAAGAGTGCAATGGCCCTCATAATATAATCAGTTCACATAGGCTACTGATTAAATCAGCAAACAAATTCCCGTTCTCACTTTCAAAAACTCTACAATGACAAGGTAATATGATTTACTTCTCTGTATTGACCTTTTGATGAAGAGTAGGAGTTAACACCAGGAAACAAAGAAAAATATACCATTAAAATACTTAAATAAAATTAGAAAATTTTATTCCATATCCAGACCAAATTGACTCTAGGCATAATAGAATAATGACTCATTAGAACAAAGGGTCCCAAAGATGGAAAACCCAGAGAAGTGAGGCGGGTAATGTTCACCAGCCACCAATTGTGATGATACAAAAGAGCAATGCAGCCTTGTAAGACAGAGGAGACAGTATAAAATGCCAGAAAGGTAGACACCAGGACAAGAATATTCTGGGTTGCTCTAGATTCTGGAGAGTTTCTCCTTGAAACATGACTGCTGTGGATATGTTGAACCCTCTGCTTGTGTCTGTACAGCATCACAATCATGGAGCCACTGGACCAGGCAATGAGCACAGAAAAGAAGACTTCAGGGCACATCACCAATACAGCATAGAGCAAGTCATTAATTTCATTATGCCCTCCAGTGGAACAGTACTCAAAATCTCGATTTCTTGTCATGTTTTTGTTATTTCTTTTGACAAGTGTGTACACCAAGAAAATGAAATGTATAATCATGGACAAGACCCAGAGTAAGAAAATGGAGCAGCCAATGTACTTTGCAGCCTTTGCTTTTTGATCCTTACAACAGGATTCCCTGTGACTGATGGTGATGACCTGAAAGACACTCAAGAAACAGGTGGTGCCAATGGACACACTCCTGCCAACTCTTTGAATGTACAAAATAATTTTGCATACAAAATCATTTAAAAACTTTTTCAACCCAAAAGCTACCAATGTATTTGGCACTCCTTTAGACAGAACTATCAAGACATTGGCTGTCATTATGTGCATGAGAATCAAATCTGTGGGCTTTAATATATGTTCTATATAGTAGACCAGATAGAAGATAAGAAACAAGGCATTTCCCAGGACTCCAGTTGTAATTTGTAACATAAAAATCATTTTGATTGTCATATTCCAGAATTCCATTCTGTGATTGGACATGATTCTCCTTAGATTTTAGCCACATCCATTTTCCTGATCAAAATGAATGAAAAGTATTAATAAATAATACTTGTTAATTATTAAAAAGTAATACATATTAATCTAAATCACCACTGAGAGGAAAATCAGGGGGTTCCTTAAAGATCTGGAATACAATGTCATCATAAACTTTACTCTATGTACTCAATGTACTGTAGCAATACTTTCTTGAAATTCTAACAGTAGCAATTATGCCTTACATTACGTACTTACTTACACTACAATATTGTCAGATTGGTGAAGAATTGAGGACACACCTGGTAATTGGAAAGATGCTTTCCTCATCATAGAATATGCAGCCTTATTGACAGGATTGTTTGTCCTATGAGAAGTAATGAAAAGAGAGAACCAGTACTAACAAGAATAATCCAAGACTGTAAGATTATACTCTTATTTTCTAGTCATGTTACAGAAAAAGACAATTTTAGTAACTACTATGAACCTCAAATATGTCAATTCTTAAAGTACATTTCATCTAATATTAAGTGATGAATAATGTAAAATTAATACCATTCAGAATTTATATATGTATATATATTATGTATATTCATAGATAAGAAATTTGTTTATGTATATAAAACACATTTAAATGATGCTTCAATTGACAAAATACATATTTCTATGAGTTAGTTCTCATGCAATGTCACAGCACCTAGATATACAAGCATATATGCACATGCAGGTATGTGCTGTTAGATATCTGGGGACATCTTGTATAATGTAGTCTCCCAGCCATGGGCTGTCCCTGAAATTATTTTCTGTGTTTTCGTTCCATTCCAGTAGCTGTCAGCCTTACTTGGCCTCAGTGGAAGATAATATGCCTATTTCTGTAGAGTGTCAATGTGCTAGAGTTGGAGGGATTCCCAGGAGTTGTCTACTCTCCCAGAGGTAAAGGAGAAGGAAGAATGGGCGGCAAACAGGATGTAAAGTGAATATATATATATATATATATATATATATATATATGAAAAATTGTATGTGTAATTGTCATGCACCACTTAAAAGACTACAGTGGAAATGATGGGAATGAAGGCAGTGACTTAATCAGCCCATCCAAGCAGTGCAGTTGGAGAAAATTCTCAGGATACCACACCTGTAAGTCAAGTTGTCACAAAATTCTTTTTAGATCAGGAGAGATCCCATGGCAGAATGAATAACAGTGGAACAGTACTCAAAGTCTCCATTTCTTCTCATGTTTTTGTTATTTCACCATGCTGATTCAAGAAGCCCCAGTTGGGGAAATGTTGCTTTACACACTCATGAGCTGACAGTCAAGAACTGGGACAGGATGGGCAGTGAAGTCTGGAATCTGTAGAAGATAAAGAAAGTAGAGAAATGAACTGTGACCTTAGGAACTATCAGTACTAACAGTCTTCCCTTCCCCATGTGCTAGGCCTGCAGAACACCCTGGAAAATGACTATGTCAGTGAAAAAAAAGGACTGTCTTAAGTAACGTAAGGCAGCTTAAGAAAAGTCAATAGTGTAGATTCTGTCTCAATACTTTGTCAGCTTATAACTTTTTAAATGTAGGATTATACAGAAGTGAGTATGTTTTGAATCCACAAAACTAAAATGGGGCTCATAAATGTTCATCAATTGCCCCCATGAGAGAGTCTTGTAAATGTAAGGGAACATGTAAGATTAGGGTGTAGAAGGAAAAATGTATGTGGAACACATATGTTGGAGATTGATTTCAATGCTTTGATTCAATCAGGAATCTGCATGTCCAATTGCTAAAGGTCCTTGTCCCAGTTAGTTTTGATCTATCAATAAAGATGACAATGGCCAATATCTGGGCAAAGGGAGGTCATGCAGGACCCTTAGAATTCTGTAAGCTAGGACACAGGGAAAGGAAAAGGAGCTATCCCGATGAAACAGTAGGATAGTGATGGACATAGGAGCTGTAGGAGATAAAGCTAGTAAACCATGTAAGAATACAGGTAAGTAGCCACTGGTTACTTCCCCAATTGGGTTTGGGGTTGGTGGGGAAGGTTTATGAGTCCCCAGCCTTTGAGGTAGCCAAGGTATTTTAAAATTAGCTGGTGTGTGTGTATGTGTCTGTGGCTGTGTGTGTCTTCCATTCATGAATCCAGGTATCTCCTGAGCAGGTGCACACACATGATCCTCCAGGAGTCAAAACAGTGTAGCCCAAACTCATCACTACACACATAATCTGGTGTTAGTGTAGGCAGAAGGGAGAATGAAGAATTGATTCAATCCAAATACTAAATAGTAAAAAGCCTAAAGAAACATGCAATACTGAAACTAATTTCCCCCTCTCCCTTCTCCCTCTTACTCCGGGGCTGGCCCCACCTGCTCTGGCTGGGACTACTAAAAACAATAACCAAAAAAGGGAAGAATTTTAAATGAACAAAGAATGTACAAAAAATAGTTGAAAATGCCAAATTTTCATATAGTTCTGGTAATGTAGAAACATCCTGCCCTGGCAATGACCATGTATGTCACTAAAGCCTGTTGAAAATTGCGTACATCTGCTTACATGAAACAAATAGAAACCTGTTTGACAGGAAGCACAATCCTTAGAATAACAAGCAAAATAAATTTCTTTGTATCAAAAAAAGAAATAAAGAGAAGGAAAGAAAGAAAGATAGAAAGAGAGAGAGAGAGAGAAAAAGAAAGAAAGAAAGAAAGAAAGAAAGAAAGAAAGAAAGAAAGAAAGAAAGAAAGAAAGAAAGAGAAGAAAGAAAACATGGAGGTTATAATCTAGTAGTATTCTTGTGAGTTTTAGCCTGCATACAACATACATGTTCCCAGTAACACCCCATGAGGAATTAATCAATGTAGACAGATGATACACAATTCTATACATGCATAGACCATTGAAAATCATAAAGATTTTTTCTGCTTCATCTACTGGATTTCTAGTGATGTTTCATTTGTGATATATTATGATATATGTGATTATGAATTTTGTTTCCTTACTTGAAAATGTACAAATCACAAACATAAAGAAATTCAGTTTGCTTTAAGATTGTTAAAGAATGGCACCTGATGTCTGCACATGAGATTTGTTAATTTCAATTGGAGACTAATATCCCAACAAACATGATCCAATATTTATGAAAATGCAACAGATATCTAATTCACTAAAATGTTAATCAAAACAGTATTAGGAGTGTGTTCTTTGTCTGTGCTTTTGCTGCTTTATCTGACGCTTATTTATGCAGAAATTATGACAATCTAGGTTACATGTTGTCCACCAGGGGAACAGTGAAAACCCAACATCCTTGGAAGCTATTTAGTTCTGTTTACCTGGAGTTGTTGGCTTGCTGAGAACCCAGTCACTTTTCTAGGAAATTGAATGCAGTGGACCTACCCTATCACATCTGTGAAGATGGAAAAATTACAAAAAAATGACAGGAAGGTTTATTGGAAGAGCTGCTGTGAAATTTGAGACTCCTTGTATGATAGCAACTTATAATTTTATGATCCACATGTTGGAGATTTCAGGTTTTAGACATCCTCCTGAATTTATTGTAAAGAAGCAAGATAAAATATTAAAGAAAAGTAACAGTGACCAATGTACACCACAATGTGAGACCACTCTTTTTCTACAATCTGTGTGGTCACTGTGTATTATCTGGACATTTGTTTCCATAGTCATAGTATTTTTCTCACAAGGGTAGAGTGTGACCACACTGGCCGCATCCTCTGAAATTCAATATTCTCACTTGTAAATATTCTCGTAATAAAGTATTGGAAAAAGTAAGTGTAAAATAGAAAATACATTTTTATTTAAGTGTACAATTAGCAAATAGCAGTGACAATGTATAAGTCACTATCCTTTCAGGTTGACAATTTCTTTGAGGTAGGATCTGTAGGATCTGGACAATAGCATTATTTCCACAGCCAAGGCATGATCTTAGAAGTACAAAGGGTAAGAGGGACTTCCAAAATAAAAAGTGCGTAGGGACAGAGTGAATTCTTGAACACGTTGAACATGGCTACTGTGACGCAAACATTTTAACATCAGCCTATTACCAGAGCCATGAGATATGCTTACAAAATACTCCTTCCCGCCAGAAACACTGTGTGTGTGTGTGTGTGTGTGTGTGTGTGTGTGTGTGTGTATGCAGGGAAAACATGCATAAACAGAAACAAAAATAGATATTTAAACAATTCTAAAAATAACTTTCAAACTAACAAAGTTTTATTTCATAGGATAATGGCAAATCTTTTCAGCATTTAATTATATTTAGTGTTTTCAGTGAGATATAACGTGACAGAATGGTCTCCCACTTGTCAGTTTGATTTCGGAAGCACAAGATGAAGTTGATATTCAATATGGAACTAGAAATATGAAATATTGTACCTGCATAGGGAAAGTCTATAAGGGGAAGTACAGATGAATTACTAATACTATTACCCTGTACAAAATACAACATGAAACATTAACATATACTTTTAAGTATTCAGAATTTATGAGTATTGTTGCTAATATATTTCCTTTAAAATCTATCATGTATTTGGTTTTGAAATATAGTTTTCTCATGATAGAGTCTCAACATATGACACTAGTTTTCCTTGATATTACGGTGTAGCCAATATTGTCCTCAAAAGTCACAGAGATCTGTCGGACTCTCTCCCAAACGCTGGGATTATAGGTTTTCAATACATACCTTGCTTCTTTGATAATCTCTGTATTATTTCTGTACAATAAACTTATGATCTATTCAAATAGAGAACATGCAAACAAGTTAATATTGTAAAATCTGAAGAATGTATTTGAAACCTTAAACATAATACATTGAGATATAGCACTAGATATTACTACAAATTTATCTGAAAAATAGAACCACTGGGATATCAAGAAAAAGTGCCTGTGTTCCAAGAACAATAATAAACAGTGAGAACAGATATGATATCACGTTGGGCTTAAAGAATTTTTAAAAATTGGAGAACAAACCAAGATACACTTCATCCTGTCTGTCATTGCTCAA